ACCAATATTGAGCTGCCCAATGATGATCATGGGATTGCGTGCAGGGGTAGCTCACGCTGCTGCCACAGCAGGGCAGGCATCAGGATGTCTCGGACTGGACTCCGCAGCCAACACGAATCAGATTCAGGAATGCACGGATTGGCATTGGAGGCAGGAGAACAAGCAGAGTCCTACAGCGATGCCAGACATAAAAGAAGAATGGCTGACCCCCCTGATCCCTTAGCTTTACACTGAAGATGATGTGGATGGGATGGAATACCTCATTGGTGAGGTTTTGGTCACCTGTCCCATCCGCACTTTCCCACAGGTGTGACCCTTTTACTCCTTTTCACTTGCAGATCATAAAAGAGCCAGCAGTGACCTTGGTTCCCATAGGAATAAGCATAAATGTGGGCCTTTCTGTGTACCAATCCTACCATTACTTCAGTAACAACTATAAACATCAAGCGTTATCAATTCTGAAAACAGGCACTGCCTGAAAAGCATGTAGTCAACTTCAGAAAGTGCAGCTAATTAGAAGAAACTTAACTGAACGAAAAATCTACTGAAAGGAGAATTGGTCCTGTTTTAGCCAAACCCGAGACATCGCATTATTTCTACAGTTCTGTGACCTACTGAAAATGTTAGTGAAATTTCACAGATTAAACTGCTAAACTGTTGTTGAAAGCAACATTTCACCAATTTGACTGTTAAGAGAGACCTTACAATGGAGCAGTAAGCAGAATGAACAGAAGTGTGAAAAAAGCATGCCAAGCCTTAAAAACTCTGGAGCTTCATTAAAAGTAAGCAGTCATAAACAACTTAAGAAGTTAATATTCTAAAATAACTCAAAATTGCAAGAAAAAGGAAATTATTACAGTAATAGTCAAAGAATTTGTACACCAATTTTGCACTTCTTTCCAGCAATTTCACCTATGCAAACCTTCGCTATTTTCACATCCTACAAGTCTCTGAATCAAAGAATTTTCAGGGTGTTTAGGTAACTTATTTCATCAGGAATTGCAGTAACTATTTGTCAGTATTAGTGTACAGCATAAAGTACACAGCCATATAACCATATACAGCACCTGAAGATACTTCAATGTTAAGGCAGAAAATTATTGTTAATTTCAAGATTCTTCTGTTCTGAAATCAAAGTACCAAAAGAACAAGCTGACCAAAAGTAATGTAACTTTTCAGCATTCAGAATATTCGGCATTTTGGTGCCAAGAGGAATTCTCAATCCCACTTATATTAAGATAAATGCTCTACATAAGATTATTTCTTGTTATAATTAGCTCTGAAATTCCTACTTATAGTTACTTCTTCATAAAGCCTCTATATGACAAGTTGCCATTATTACTGAAATCTCTTAATCCCTTTCAATTTCTGATGGAAATTAATGAAGTTTTATAAAGCGCTGCATCTTGAAAACAGACCCTTGAAAGGAGGAAGCAAAAGAAAACCTATGCTGCTCTTCTGACACACATTATGGTTATTTAAAATTCTCTAATATGGAGGAGGCCCCAGAGGAAACACACCACTACTTCACTGTAAGTTCTCTTCAGGGTCAGTAGAACAAAATCATTTAGAAGATCCAACATAAAATCATGCAGAATAGCTGAGTCTGGCTGGAGATCATCTAGCCAAAAGTCCCCTGCATAAGGCAGGAGCACCTAGAGCAGGTTGCTCAGGGCTGCGTCTTATTAGGTTCTGAACTTCTCCAAGGACAGAGACTCCACAAGTTCTCTGTGCAAACTCTTCCAGACTTTAACCACCTTCGCAGTAAAAAGAAAAAAAAAAAGATTTTTCTTACATTTAAATGGAGTTTCTTGTATTTTAATTTGGGTCCATTTGCTCTTGCATTTTAATTCTTCTTTTTTTAAACTAAAAGTGACTCAAATGTAGCCATCTCTTACACTGCGTGATACATTAGAACCATCATATGTAAAACTTTAAACATTTGAGAAATGCCACAACCTGGACTACTAGTGTACTAAGAAATTTTGGTGCTTGACCAAAGCTCCCATGCATCAAAAGTTAAAATGACAACAAAAAGCATAAAATTAACACTCAGCTCTATATAATCCACTCACTTAAAAGCCATTGGTTGAATTCAACAGGGTTCTGGTTGACTTCCAAATCAAACTATAATTTAATGGACCTATAATGGAATTAACTGGGACATGCTAGTCATGAAATAACAGAGCTACAAAAGAGGTTATCTATAAAACCCATACCTCTACTATGTGGTAGTTCAAGGGGATCTTGTTATTTCCAGGATAGCTCAACAGTTGTGCAGCACTGCAAAACCATAGACATATTCAGTTCAGGACATAACACAGCAAATGTGATGTAAAGATGAAGTAACAAAGTTAAAGAAAATGCTTAACTCTGGGTAACAGTTCACATTAAAGCAGCAAAACAAAATCAACAATCTTCCAAAGTCTGTCCATCAATCCACAGAACACTTAAAACAGAAACAGCACAAGAACACACCAGCATTGCCTAATCTATGACTTGTAACGATGTATTTTATCTCTGTGTAGTTACATCACTTGAATGCTATACCGCTAAGCAAAATAGTTTTGCATAAATAGTCATGGTGATCTGTAATTCTGGCATGAAAAGGAAAAAAAACCCCAAATAACAGATGTTCAGAATGACTTAAAGGCACAATTAAACTAATGGGTTATGTAAGAAACTCTCACACTTCAAATGCTTCATCTTTTAATCGGCTCATTATCACCTATCGTTATTACAAAGCAAACAACTGCTACTTTCTTGATTTTATTTCTACCTCTCTGGCAAATCTTGCACCTCCCTCCAGTCTTTTACTTTCCTTTGAGAATTAACTAAGACTATCCCCGTAACTGCAACAACCCCGAATTTCTAGTTTCTGCTGAGTCAAACAGCTGCAACCAAAAAAAACTTTGTTATGTGCCATCACCAAAAACATTTTTCTGCCCATTTTTTTCAGACTATACAAAGTTTGGTTGTTCTTATTTGGAAGCATGACACAGCCAATTACCTGTGGCAAACCATTTCAGTTATCAATTACCCACATCAGATATTGCTCAGGCAGAAATTAAGAAAAGTGCCTTGACTGCTGCCTGTCACCACTGAATTCAAACTAATGAAATCTGCTGGCCCTGCAATGACTCCCCAAAGTGAGATCAATTCTGTCTGCCATGTAATCCCAAAGAGAATAACGCAACGAGGAGGAGAAGGAAGCAGAAGTGTGTTCATGAACACCAGTGCACAGTCAGTTCCAAATGAACCAGCTCAAGGCTCACGGTGCCCCAACAAATCAGCAGCGAAATTCCAGGAAGCATAACACAACAACACTCTCCACAGTGCTCCCACAAAGAGTAAGGTGTGTCTGCATATTTTTTGCAGCACATCCTGTATTACGAAGGTATTCCCTTCCCAAGGAGCCACTGTCTCCCCGCGTCATACAGACTCTCCATTATTTGGATATTACAGATCCACAGTATTCCAGGCAATAGTTTTAATATAGTTACACATTTTAAATCAAGTTTCATCAAATGTTTATCTAGAAAATGTTTAATCTTGAGCTCTTGTCTAATCAGTGCAGGACTCCGCATATCCCTGATGGCACCGAAGCCATAGAAGCATATAAAAAGCGCCAGGGCCCCATAGTGCTAAGTGCTTCCTACCAAGTCTTTCTCTCTTTCCAGTGGGATTTGATGATGCAGTGAAGGTTCTCTTCTATTACAAATCGTTCAACAGAGTGGCTGCCAGGCATGACAGGGCCCTGGTAAGAAAGAATTAAGATTCATGAAAAATCACTGCTAATGCAGTGGTACTACAGGTAGCAAGCTATCTTCCACACATTTACAGGTGGAAAAAAATAGTCCGACATCCAGGTAAACACAGTGAGGTCTCAGCTGCCCTGTATCCCTCAGTACTGAGAAGCTAGTGTAACACAATTCCACACAAACCTCAGATTAAAACAAAATGAATACTAGGAGTCGTTACAAAAAGAAATGGGAACAAAATGAGAGAACATGATTATAAGTTCATGGTGCATCTCCTTCTTCCATTGCTCTGAGGATCCACCAGGCAGGCTTCCACCAGGCAGGCTAAGACCATGCAGCCTGGAAAAGAGAAGAAGAAGAAAAAAAAAAGAAAAGAAAAAAAAAAAAAAAAATAAATCACAGTTGAGCTGGAATATGATAAACAAAAAGCTAGGAGCGGCCAGGATAGGGTGGAAAGAATACACAGTCATGGTCTCATTCATTGCAAAAAACAGAGGCCAATAAATGAAGGTAAAAGGCAGCAGACTTAACGCAAAGGGAGGTGTAAAAGCACTGGGGGAAAGCAGTATATATGCTCTTCCTATTTCTATACACTTTTGTCTATGTATCTGCTGTTGTCCAATGCTGCACACAGACTATTGAGATAGACGGATCTTTCACCCACCCCAATTGAGCACTCCTTTGCTTCACATTATGCATCAACAAATTTTAACAGATGAGTAAACAACTGTCTTTAAACATTACAATAAATACCTAGCCTGGAAAAAGACTCAAGTCACCAACTTTATGCACAGAAAGTCTAACTCTGTGAATGTATTACTAGAGACATTAGAAAATTCAGTCAATGTTGTCATTCTACAAGTATCACAACATCTCACTCGCTAAATTCTGGTCCTCACAGATTTGCTTTGTACAGTAACTTGCTCAGGTAGGTCATTTCTGTGGAAGTACCAAAGTAGAATTGCTACTGGTCTCCAAACCACCCAGTATCTTGGGAAAGGTAACATGACATTTGGACCAATACTGCCCTAGGAACCTAACTGTGAAATCCGCTCACCATCTTCCACAGCAATCACATACCTCAGGGTCATCTGTGTAGTCAAACATCCTAAAAATAACCCTTGGCATCGGGTACACAGAATCTTCAGTGTGAGGCGGAGGAGTGAACGGAGGCAGATTGTGTTGCAGTGCTTCACAAAGAATGCTGTCAAAAGCCAAGTAGGGCCTCAGAATGTGTCGTTCTTGCCAGCGGTCTTTTTTCAGCTTCTGAATCTGAGACCAAAGGCAGTCTAAATACTGAAGGAAAAAGGTGAGAAACATCAGATGTGATGAATCTTGTAACGAAGCTGGCAGCTCCCTAAATTATCAGAAATTTATTTCTTAATTCCATATTCCATTCAGAAAAAACCAGTTTCTTAAACTGCTGATTCAGTAAACCAAGAAATAACTTAAGAACTCTAAACACGAGAGCTGCTCCTAATTCCACAGAAAACTGTGTCAGTAAAATTTAACCACTGGCAGGTTTTTAAACACCAACAGGCAGCCCAGGAGTTCCAGCATGACAGCCATCCTTTGAATCTGCCAGTGAAACTACAGCAGCAAACATTACTTCAGTCACTGTTCATTGGTGGTATTAGAACAGACACAATACCAACATTAAAATTGGAAAGACATTCCGTAGGACGGCCATGCTGTTTCCAGAGCAATCAAATCTACCAGCTACTACATATTCAAGACAAATACAATACTATTAAATATTAAATACCTTTGCCATGGTTTTCAACACAACTGTGAGTCCCAGCATTTTCCCAGAGATGGCACAGACACCTGTGCAACTGGTCTTGCTTTGTTTAATTACTCTCTTGCTAAAAGCAGTCCAAGAACTCTGGAGGTCTGTGGCCATTCTGAACACATTTCAAGTTATAACTGGTGCAAGAAATGTCTTTACATGGAAGTGCTTTGCATTTACTGAAATAATGACACCACAAAATGGGAACAAAGCTAGTAACAACTAGCACCTGAAGTGAACAGCCATGTTTGCAGTACTCTGGGTAACACACGGTCTCAAACGCTCTCTGCTAATCCCTCCTCTAAATAACTAAATAAGGAAATTCAGATCTTGGGCAGGCAGAATACTCATGTTGACAAATCAGTCATAGACTCATAGAATAATACATAATATAATCAGACAGTCTACCTCTCCAAATTATGATTAGCAAGATAATTGTTAAGACTGTGATTTAATCAGAACAGTGAACAAAAGGCAAGAGGGCCATGTTCCAAAACTTCCCAGAAGATCAATCTAGATCTCACTTTTCAAGTAAGTTTGTCCTCAAACTTACAGGGAAGAAAAAACAAACAAACCCAAGAATATCTGAAAAGGCAAATTCCACACCAAACTAGCCAGATGTCACCTCTCCGCTCCAGTATTTTTGGCTTAATTGTGAAAGATGGCATGGTAACTGCTGCATACAGTTTCTACGTATTTGTTCAGCACTTTCTAGAGCTGAGAAAGCAAAGCCACTACAAAGGTTTCTTTCTTGCAGAGGGAAAGCATTAAGGGACAAGTAAGGAATTACATTCTGCTTCTCACAAAGGTCCTTTTAACATAATGCCCTATACCTGCAATTCCAAAACAAATACTACAATTAACAACCATTCCTCACTTCATAACATTTCCTCAGGGGACTGCCAGCAAACAACAAAAACATTCTCCTACTCACCCCATACAACCTTATATTTAAGCCCAAGACTTAGAAGAGAATTCCTCACATAGAACTTCTTAGTATTAATGACAAAGAGGAGACAATTCAAAGCATTAATACTTTAAGAAGTGTCTTTTAATTTTATGATAAAGAGTTTCAAAACTTTCTGAGAGAATGCAATGTAAAGTTCACTCACCTCTTCTTGTGGATGTGGTTTATCAGCAGTCCAAACTTGTAGCATGGGTACATGAATCTTCTGGCGGCGTCTGTTTACACCGGAAAAAAAACTTGACTTTAAAAGACTAATTTAGGGCAGTGATTTTTTTCTTATTGTAAGTGTATTACTATTTGATCTCTTCAGCTGATGAAGTCTCTAGCATATTAAAACCAGGTTTGCTACTACTTAAAATACCTCTATTATTATATGTTGACAACAATGTTAACTTGAAGCACTTAGACAGAAAGCAGTTACACTGCAGAGCACTAACGCAACAACCTATCAGTATTCACAGCACACTTGCAACTGCAGCTGCTCCAGCATATGCAGAACGAGACTGTCAACATACTCCAGAACTAGACAAGACAATAAAACTCTTCAAATTAAAAAATCTCTCCACCTATTCTATTTTCAGGGCTTTTTTTTTTTCCCCCCACAGAATGGTTCAGACCTAAGATTTCAGAATACTTTTAAGCGAGCAATAATCAAAGCTATTAATCTATACTTGAATAGACACCGGTAAGACTATTTTTGATGGGTTACAACTTACTTCAAATAGCTTTCTGTCTGAGACAAGAGACGATCCATTTCAGCATCCTTTTTCTCATATAACTCCTTTCCAACCCAAGGCAAAGATGACAGAAATGCAAACATATACCAGTCACATCGTACCTGGAAAGAAATATACTGAAATCTAAGTATACAAGTAAGCTCCAAAAGATTTTGTACACACCCCCCATTTTAATTTAAATTAAAACATCAGCAAAACTATTATTTTGGGAGGATGTAAAGACCAGCAATTACATACTGGATTGACAAGTCACAAAAAAAATATATTCTTGCTTGAAATGTATAATTTTTAACAAGTCATTCTGACATGCACACTTAAAAAATGTTATCACTTTCACAGTCCTTCTGCAGATTATTGACATAGCAGAATAAGCCAGTCACCATGCACTTGCCAAAGTAAAGTAAAATGGATTCACTTCAGCTGCCTCACTACAAAGGAACATACTTTCTTACTATATGCATGTATTTTCTAATTGCCACAGGCTCCTTTTACTTGTGCTAAGGAAACCACACGATAGTCCATTTAGCTTGCTCTCTCTAAAACCTCCTTGTTCTAAGCATAATTACAGAATCAATGGTACAGAAAAATTGTGAAAACAGCACTTGGGGAGCCTACAGATCTTTTGCTTACTTGGGGTACATCTTCCTCCTGTGTCACACTCACAAAGTTCTCGAACATAGCTACCATCGAAGGTGCAGCTATTACATGACAATTCACAAGATCAGACAGAAAACGAACCTAAAAAAGATCAAAAAGGAATTGTTTTAAATGAATACTTTTTAACTGACTGCACAAGAACAAAAAAACGTTATTTTATTGATGGTTTTAGTCATTTAAAGTACAATATTCATTCAGTACTACAAAGGCAGAAATACTGCACACTGTACAGACTTACCTTTCAACCTGGAAAACAAGTACAGTAAGTACTGCCTAATATATCGTTCATCATAATGTCTGCAGTCTGTTTCACTGCAATAACATTGCAAGGATAATATTCCTAATTAAGGAAGGGTGGGAAACACCAGCATGCATTCAAAGACATGCAAACTGATACTGCAGAAAAAAAGCCCTTCTTCTATCTACTCTGAATGCTATCAGATCATTAAAATTACAGAAGTGGAAGGAAAAAAAACTTCTAAAAAGCTGAAGATGGATTCATCCATTGCTTCATGAGCCCAGATGTGCATCAGGAAAGAGAAGTGCCGAATCTGTATGCCATTATACGTGATTAATTTCTATAATTATTTATTCATAAATACAGATAGTTACACAGAGAGCCTATGTAAAAAAACTGCTGGCATTTTCAGGTTTCAGAAATGTGACAGACTGATGGAATGATAGGAATCAAATGGTCTTATTGGCCTGGGAAGAAAAAAATCTCCACAGTATGAATATACTCTTGATTTGGCTGCACTCTAGTAAGAGATCCAGACTGACAGAAATGGAAATTTAAGTAGAAAACATCTGAGGCAGAGCAGTGTCCCTGTCGTTGTTGAGACGGACACGACAAGAATCTGGTGCAAGAAAGTGTTTGCTATTTTATTAATTATTTCCAAACTTTTATACTGTTCTTTCTCATACTTGTCCTCCCCCCACTGGTCCGGGCTCCTTGCTCTTTAAGTCCATTGGCTCGCCACACCTGCACATCCACATATTCTGCTTCCCGTCCTTCTGCTTGTTTTGCACATTAGCATAACAAAACTATCCAAGTTTGTTATCTTGCAATTTCTCACGGGTACACTACAATCTGGTCAAGGTCAACTGCCTCATACTCTGCCAAGGAATCTGCAGACCCTCTGCAGTTTCCCACATGCTGCTTTTTTTAACTCTCCCTTCTCTTTTGATTTGTATCCTGCCTTCAGACTTAAACAAGGCCCTAGTAGGACCTAAGCTCTCCCAGTAGCACCACAATCTTAACAGACAATATAGGCTGCAATTCTAAGAAAAACTTCCGACATTTTAATTGCTAAAGGTTCATTTTTTCTTCAGAGCACATTCACAAAAAGTAGTTCAAATATCAACACAGGTATTTTTATCTGAAGGCAGATCATCGGGAAGAAGTCTTGGCAAAGTGATCTGGGCTAAGCATTTCAGTATTCAAAGAGCAACTACAATAGAGAAAAGTACCAAACTCTTAGTTTCCAGCTATTCATTGCTTTGAAGAGACGTTGAAAAGTCTTTGACAAAGCTGAGGAAAGATTTCCACTGCCACTCCCTCAGTTATTACTCTTACAAGTCATTTGTACATGAGCGTGACCAGAGAAGGTGAAGCTGAAGCCAAGGGACAGCTTGACATTCAGAGTACTAATGAGGATTTTATTAGCAAAAGCGTTCCACAGTTGAACAGCAGTCTCTTGACAAAATACATTGAAATACCAGAATTTTAATTTTCACCAGTTGGTTTCAAAAGAAGCTGGCGAGCTTGGCACTAGGCTTCTAAATCAGACACTGATGAAGTCCTAATACCTTTTTGCAGACAAAATCTAGAAGCAGTAAGAGCTGAGCAAATAGTTTCAAAGACAGACACCACTTAAAACTCCCTGCTTGATCTTCATCCCTCATTAGCAGAATAACAGACCTGATAACAGCCATCAAATATAGCTTCTAATAACCAGACTGTTCATTTTCTTTTATTGTCTTTTTTTTCATGGGAGCCCCAAGAAGATCATATACCTCTGAATACAATAAAAGTGTATGCCTTTCATCTATCTTTTACATTAGACTGTAGGACAGGTACGGAAGGAGCACCTCTATTTACTGCAAGTTAATTTGTCACTGGGAAAATAAACAGTTGGAAGTCAATTTTGCAACTGTAATATGATTACTCTTCTCTGAGGAAGGAAATTCTTCTCACATAACACACATTTCCTCTTGGTATACCTACAGTGCACTGCACGTTGATGACAGAAGAGACTGTAATACACACTCAAAGGCCCAGTTCTTCTGGAACAAAAAGGTGAAAGAAAGAGAGAAAAAGGATGAAGAAAAATGTAAAACAAACAAAAAACCACTTACTAAATGCACAGCTTCGTTATACATGTTGACTTTCAGACATTCTTTAAGCTGACGAATCATGGCTTCTACAAATTCCCCACCAAAATTGTAGTTCCTGGCATTCAGCAATCCAACCAGTGTCGTGTAAACAGTAAGCTTTTCTGGTAACAGACGTGCACTGACACAGAAAAAGAAACATGGTGTTCACTGTTTATTCATCATGTGCCAACTGGTAACTGCACAGCATCTTAGAATCTGCTTATTATAAAGTTAAACTTACCTTACAAGCAAATAAGAAAAAAGTGCTAGTGTGATCTTACCTTCTATCCCATGGTAAATATTTTACAGACAATCTTTTTTTAAACTACTCATTTAGAAAAGTAGATGCCACTTTCAAGTATGTTTAAGGTACATGCTTTTTATTTATATCTAATTGCTGAGTATTCCAGAGGGTTGGCCAAATAATGTAAGTGACAGAATTTATGAAAGCATGTAAAAAGTTTGATTTAAGTTCATAATTTAGAAATAATTTTATTATATAGCATCAGCAAGATTACACAAGAGGTATACATCTTTTATGCTATTAATTTTGATTCCAAGTTTCTCAAGTCAAAGTAACTGATTTTAAGCACAGCATAGGGAAGGCCAGGTTCTACAATAAAGAATTAATTTTCCTCAACCATTTTTGTATGCATGTAAGATAACACTATACTTTCAGAAGTGTCTTACTGCCATAGGAAAAAAAAACGTGTTATTTGCTTTACATTAACAAACATTGCTACAAAATAGATTTAAGGTACCTGCAAAATCATAGCATAGGCTAGGGCTGGAACACTCTCCCTCTCTACCACACACCCCCTTCATACTTCTCTGACCTACTACTGTAGACCTTGCACAACCCCTCCCTCAGACACTACTCAGTGACCCTAACACAGCACACCTCTGCTCCTGCACTTGGCTAGGGAGAGGAAGGAGAGCTGTCAGCCACTGGAGAGACCGCTTTCAGCTCTTCTTGTCCCCAGCTCCCCTCCTCTAGCAAATGGGCTTACGAAGACACAAGCATCTCAATGCCAGAGAAGAGGAACAGGCAACGAGAAAATAGCACAGATAAGATGACTAAGTGTTAGCAGCCAATAGTTTTGGTGCTTTCAAGCATTTCATTGGGAAACTGGATATTGCCCAGCATCACTGTGTTCTCATTGCTACTGAAGAGCAGCTTTGTGGTTTCTTCTATCTGTTTTGAGCTTTTGTACACATTTCAATTCACAGTAATGTAAAGAGGTATTTTCCTTTAATTATACCTAGTACCTAATAAGTTTATTCCTCCATTTCTTTTGTTTGTAGTAAACCAAACTCTACACTATAACAGCACTCAGGAACTAAAGCCATTCTTGGCATTTAAACTAGCTTAAATACTTAAAATTTATGCACAAAGAAGGAAGCACCTCCCAGATTCCCAGATCTCCCGCATACGTACACAGTACATAGTATTCTTAGTATCTTGCTTTTGTAATTGGGCAGATCAGCTTCCAAAACACCAGCTAGGCCCTCCAAGTTGCTCTCCAAAGATGAATTACTCTAAAATAAAAAATATAAAAAAAGACATTTCATCATCAACCAGGCAATATAAACCAGCCCCTGGCTCTCATGTGGAAGACAAGGAAGTTGGGCCAGCACATCCTTTTATGTCACTTCCTTTTTCAGAGTAACAATTCAGTTCTGTTAGCAATAAAGAACCACTCTCACTTGCCCGAAAAAAGGAGCAGCTACTCCTCAAAAGAGCTGCACCTGATCACCAACATCCCCTGCAAGGCACCCCAGTGCTCCTCTGGGATGTGTCATGGCTTAACCCCAGTCAGCAACTAAGCACCATGCAGTTGTGGTGCTCACTCACTCCTCCCTCCTCCTAGTGGGATGGGGAGGAGAATCAAAAATAAAAAAGTAAAACTCATCATTGAGACAAGAACAGTTTAACAACTAAAGTAAACTAAAGTATAATACTAATAACACCAATAATAATAATAATAGTAGTAATGAAAAGGAATGTAACAAAAGAATAAAAGCCAAGAAAAGACAAGTGATGCACAATACAATTGCTCACCATGCACTGACAGATGCCCAGCCCACCCCCTAGCAGCAATCGGCCCCTCCTGGCCAACTCCCTCAGCTTCTATACTGGGCATGACGTTCTATGTTATGGAATATTCCTTTGGCTAGTTTGGGTCAGCTGCCCTGGCTGTGCTCCCTCCCAGCTTCCTGTGGATGTCCTTGTTGGCAGAGCATGTGAAACTGAAAAGTCCTTGACTTGAGGTAAGCACCACTGAGCAACAACTAAAACATCCGTGTGTTATCAACAGTATTCTCATATTAAATCCAAAACACATCACTGTAACAGCTACTAAGCAGAAAATTAACTATCCCAGCCAAAACCAGGACAGATGCAAGATCTAACACTGCTTCAGGGACATTGCAGTAAAGCGACTGAGCCTTGATTAACAACACCACATGAAATGAAACACCTTCATGATTTGGTTTTCAGTGTACCACCATTTTTGCCCTTACCCTTTTAACCCCCTCCCCCCTTTTCTATTAGCCTCAAATCCTGTCAGGACTTGAAACTTGTGCCACAGCAGACCAAGTTAACCCTCCACATCCCTGGCAAACTAGAGCTAGCAACAACATCCACAGATGCAAAGTAATAACTATCTGCTGGCTCTTTATCATGGTTTGGAAGACACAAAAGGACTGTTTAAGCACTTGCCCGTTTTAGCACGTGATTTTGCAAAACCTGACAACTTTCCAACCATCTCATAAAACAAATCTTTTCTTTTTGGGTGGTTACTACAAACAAACAGCTAACACACAGTACACAGAAGGGGGCGGGGAGGGGGGAACGACTTTAACTTTCTCGAGCTGCCGCCCGCGCTGCGGGCTCGG